CTACCTCACCTCCGCCTGCTTCGTATGGGTTATTGTTGGTGCGGTCTCGGAGACCGCAGTCACGATATACCTCTTGCACAAGTCTTGGGATCGATGGGGTCATGTGTGGAGGGTGGTCACTCCCGTCATCTTCACGCTATGGATCACGACCCAGCTCTACGGCGCAACGAGACTCTTTGCAATGGCTCGGTCGGAGAGGTGGAAAGCCAGCAAGCGATCACCGGAAGAAGAGTCTGTGGAGCCCATTGCCGAACTACCAGGAACAGTGGAAGACGGGGAAATTCCCGGACAAGAAGAATCCAAGAACAAAGCAGTATAAGGGCTCCAGAGAAGCTTGAGTGCTGCGAGACCACCCACTCCCATTCGACTAGATCACATCCCCCACACGGGAACTGAACTATGCCACGATCATCGATGCTTTGGGCCGACGAAATGGTACCTCGAAGATAATTCTCATCGATAGTTTTGGGGATTGACCAAGTACTGGACCTGGCAACAACTTCTGTGATCGAAGAGGAACAACGCGCGACTGACTAAAGCTTGCGGCCACTTTCTCCATTTATCGGGACTCTGGTCACCGACAGCAACATCAATGACTGCCAAATCCTCCATCTACGCGCTTACGTGACAGTTCGCGCAAGCTTAAAGCCGCCGTTTTACATTCAGCGGCCAATCTTTTTGTGTTACGTGGTAGTCCGGAAGGATAAGGGCTCAGTGGGGTCTTTGAGTCGAGACACCTCGTTTCTGCGTGTACTGATACTCGGGGGACAGCCTTTCAAGCATAACCTCGAAACGTGTTAAAAAGACCATGTAGCTTTGTAGGACCCCAAGTCAGGTCCTCGTATTTAATCAATAATAAAGAACAATACCGTTAAACCCATCAACCTTTCTGCCGAACGATCGTGCATGTAGAAATCTGTGTTGCCTCGTTTCGCCTCCATGGATGATTCATTGATCAAATGTCCCGACGATGTGAGGTTGACTTGGCTTGATTCCTTGCATCTAAGACATGGATTGTGGTTCAAACCTCCTGACAGATTCAGTCACGACTCTGTTGTTTTCCTAATCGATCCGTACTCTCTTGATGACCAACTCCCGTCCGTGATTGTCCCTCCTTCAGACCTTGTATCAAGCCAAAGCGAAGCCGATCGGATTTCATCTTCCGTGATAGATCAATCCCATCCAGCCCTCTATAGTCTCTTGGAACATCAAAAAATATCGAATCTCGTAACACGGTAGAAGCGTACCCAAGAATCTCTGGCCCGTATGTGCAGTGCTTGAGGACAACGCTCGCGATACCAGCTGCAAGAAGCACGATGCTCGCGACCAGGAAAAGCGTAATCCATAATGAGGAGATCTCAAAGTTGATAACAGGGGTACTTGTTTCTGCTTCGACGGAGATCTTGGCCCCAGACGTTGGTTTATCCGCGTCCCACTCTGCAATCTCGAACGAAAGCTGGCTTATCAAGAGGTAGGTATTGAGGAGCTGGCTAAGTCGAATTCCCATATCTTTCGCTGTGACGCTTTCTATGATGCAGTAATCGTCCGACCTCAGCTGTCTAAGCCCTGGATCAGCGAGGTGGTAAAGCGAGAACTCGGACTTGTACGCCGTAGAGCCTCCGATGGAGAGCGGAAGCTCGCGAGAGACAAAGTCAAAGACGGCGGGGAACGATAGCTGAGATATATCCCTAGGAGCATTTTTCTTCTGAGATTTCCGCTGGGCTACCACGGTGCAGTTGTGTCTGTCGGTGCGAGCCGTGCGAGAACAGTTGACGCGGGACTCGGCGTACTCCTGAGATACCCTACAGAGGCTCTTTGCTGAACATCCTGGGTGTTTTTCCTGAGGGGGGAATATGCTTTGAAATAGAAGAGTCGTCGGCTCGGCGTCGACATGTTGCTCATCTTTGAATAAGAGGGGCCGGTGCATTTCCTCGACACGACCATGCAAAGGGCCAACGACTGGTTTTGTAGGATAATCAGCAGGTTTCATGGACCATATCCGATCTACAAATCTGTCGAGCGCCAGAATCCAGGTTGAATCTAGCCCGGAGACGTTTCTTGTGTAGTCGTATCCGTGCCATGTACCATTTGGCAACTTAGCGTTTCTTGTGTACCTGGTGTCTACAGCCAGAGAAGCGGCTGATAGGTCGTCGTGAAATACCTCTTCTTTCAGCAGGTCGTCGGCTCCTAGATCCATCTTGAGGGTTTCAACATCCGAGCAGTCTAAGCTAATGTAGCTAGACTCTAGCGAAAATACGGTGTGTCCAACTTCGATGCTGTTGAGAGGGATCCCGGCCAAAGACGAATACTCATTTACACCGAGATCTTGATCCAAGAAGTCCAACCAGTCATCTGTGTCTAAGCGCTTCAGGAAAGGTATTTTGACGTTGCCCCAGACATCCATAGCATCCGCTTTGAGTCCTTCAGGCATTGAAATCAGGGTGTTATACAAGGTCGACATGGGTCGGAAGCTCGCCATGGAGGTTGAGTATGAAAATCCCACCCAGGTCGCCCACTGTATGGCCTGACTCTCAGCGTTGGTGTCGAAGTAGGTTATCGTCGTGTTTCTGTTGTCCGAGGCGATTTGTGAGGACATCATTCTCAAAATAGATTGAGTGCCCAAAGGTGAGAGTGCCCATATCAATACCAAAGCAGCACCCACGATATTGAATGATCGAAGTTGGATCAGATTGAGTAGGGTGGCGCCGACCGTTCGGCTGCCTAGGAACTGCTCGAGAGAACCGAGGGTCGTGCCGGTTTCCAGCTTCCAGCGAGCCGCTTCATATGTAAGACGACCTACAACTGACGCAAACAGGATCGGAAAAGCAGTCGCAAGCTACATTCGGTCATTATTATTAGAGTTTGACTTACTTAGCATGATCAGGTAAAAGGGTTCGGTACTTACGATCGTGATTGCGTTTCGCCAGGCCCCGCGGGAGCTTTCAGTACTCTCGGAACCGTCAAGGCGCCACACAATGACGATGAAGACAATGAGACCCAAGGGAAGAACCACAGCGGCGCAATTTGTTACGATAGTGAAAAAGCCCAACCTGTTGTTAGGCAAGTCAACCCTCGATACGGCGCCATCAGTGTCGTCTTCCGCAACACGGTTGTACTTCGTCGTGCCATCGGTCGAAACGCGTGGACCGGTTATCGTAGATGCTACATCCTCTGTTGCAGCATCGTCTAGCTCAGGTAGACATTGTTGGGCTTCAGGCTCTAGGGGGTAGTCCCTGTTGGATGCTAGTGAGGTACGTCGACTCGGACTTGGAGATACTGGTTGCCCATCTGGCCTGTAAGCCAACGGAGACAAAAAGTTGATATTAGAGTCGTGTTGCATTTTTTTCCAAGTGTTCCGAAACCCCAATTGTTGAGAACTCTCCTGTTACCTCGATAAAAGGATTAAAATCGAGCGAACAGGGGAGGGAAGAAGTCTAGGATTATTGGCAGGGACCGGCGCTCATAAAAGATTGAAGAGAGAGTTGTGTGACAATGAGCAGGCGACCAGTAATATGGCGATGTTCTGTTTTAAGAAGGCTGCAGTCACAAAATCATATTGGCGGTGTGTCGCACTGAATGTCAGCTTACGCCCAGAGCTATGATTATACTAGGTCTTTGACAATAGGAGAAGCATGTGTTTCATCTACATTTCCTGGATGCTACTTAAAGTATGAGAGTCATCATTGTAAATGAGGTTTTGGAATAATACACCGCTGGGGCTATCGATGGGTAAAGTAAGGTTTATAAGGGCTTTAGTTAACTGACCTTGGTGTCGGGGCAGATAGAAAAACGATACAGCCCCCCTATTTCTATTCTACATTCTATGTCACGTCACTTGATCCCATGTGGAGTTATAAGAAGGACCGAGAGAACGAGAGTGCTGTCATTGAGTCTTCTGGAGAATTCAGTAGCCTCACCCAGCTTACATTATGGACCTAGACGCTCTTCAGCGGGTAGAGCGTTCAAGATGTTCAAAAACCTTGGGGGGCCTGATTCGTACTGGATCTAAGGGGGGTTTGATCTTTTCTGGTCAGGCATTCACTTACACTGAATTGTTCCGAAAAACATATCGTGATGTAGGAAAGTCAGTCGAAGTCGTGCTGACGAACGTGCGTTGGCTACACATAAACCAAACCAGTGGGTATCAATTAAGTCCGCTGATTCTTGTGTAGCAGACCATTCAGCAATGTCTGCAACCCGCAGGCTGAAACAGATTAGTAACGATCTTTGGTAGCTGTTATGACACATCATCGGTATTGTGCTTGAGCTGAGTGTGCGACATCGATCAAGTGCGTGTGATGGAGAGAGAGCAGGCAGGGGAGCTGAAAGTTAACCGAGGCTTGGTACGCATGCGCCGCATCAGCCTCTTCGGCTGGGAAACCCTCTATATTTTACCGAATCTGGCGCAAGAAGTGAGGCCGACTCTTCTTCCATTCCACGTCATTTGTCTTAGGCGCCTTAAATGCCTGTCAAAATGTGACCAACAAAGCAAGCCCCCAAGCGCATAGCCACAGCGCAGTTGACGGAGGTAGCCCATCTGATGAGCAGTCGTCGCGATTTTTACGAGCGATTAACTACAAGTTCTCGATAGATTCAGCCACAATGACTCCATGTGTATTTGATGTGAATCTTTTTCAGCTCTGATAGATAAGCGTATGGATTTTATTCGCTGCTGGCATCAGCTCTGGCAGAGTCGTCCTACGCACCATATTATGTCTTCAGTTAGGTCTAGCCCCTCCGTCACCATTGGTCCGCAGGTATTGGCGGCTCAAGGCTTGGGGCACTGAAGCCTAGCAATGGTCGCCTCTTTTTGAAGAACCTATTGCAAACCAGGCTTTTGTCTTTAAAACCCGCCGGTTCCCAGTCCTTGGTCTCCTTGCCGATTCGCGGCTCTTTTGTCTTCGTCTTTCTCAAACTGCCGTACGACGAGATTTACAGCTTCCCTAAAGTGTGAAAAAGCTGACGCAATCCATCGGACGACGCGGAAGTCTTCCAGCAAAATGGAAACTGATTATCTGGTCAAGGGAGGGTATTGCGAACGGATGATGGAGGAAAATGTGCCTGATCCCGACGTAACGGGCTGGGGTGTAAGATTCTTCCAGATGATATTGTTGATTCCTTGAATGATGCTAATTTCAAATAGATCGTCTCTTCATTTTGCTTTTCTATCGTTATGAACATGATTGCTATCATCGTTGCATACGCGACAAAAGCGCTCCCTGAGAAACGTTACAACTCAATAGACGATATCATTCATTCCAGAGGGTCATCGTCGGCCGATAGAAAACAACGCATCAAAGCTTTCGAGTCGTTCATGCTATCGCTCAGTGATCAGCAACTAGTTACTGGCATGGCCCTCATGTTGGCAACGATTTGTATATTCGCGGGGGTACATGGCTTGGACGAAGGCTTTTCAGTGTACTCGTTTCAAATTGCGACTCGACTCGGATACTTCTCATGCATCACACATCTTTGCTCTCTCACAGTGTTGTGGGCTTACTTTGACAAACATAAACGGTTAAGGATGTTCCGCACCATCCTTATGGTTGTCTTTTTGGCGATGATGATTGGTTGCATGACCATCTCAGACTCTGTTACTTTTCGTTTCAATCGACACGTTTCGGTCAAATGTGCGAGAAAGCATTTTAAGCTGATTGATCGAGAAAGACCCAATTACGTCTTCTTCTCTGACGAAATCATTATTGTCTTCAACTTATCGGTACTAACATACATCCTCATATCAGGTTACGTCCAGAGGCTGCTACAACTCTATTGCCCGCTGGCCCGCGAAGAAAAAGACTACTGGCAGCGTCGCTCTCTCCGAGCCTGCTTCGGTCCTGAAGCTGTAGCCAAATTTGAAAGGCTAGCTTTGGCTCACAATCAAACACTGGCAGATTTGAGGTCTAGTTTTCTCTGGGAAATTGTGTGGTTGTTATTCTACTTCACATTCGGAACTGCGAATCTCCTGGAGTTCTTCAATGACGCCAGTCTCAGACTTGGTGCCATCAAGCCGAACTTTGGGCAGCTTGTACCTCTGTTCCTTCTAGCTCTTCCATTGATAACAGCTGCTGAGGCATATTCAAGTAAGTAGGCCCGCTTTCACGATCGATCAAATGGCCGGGAAACAGAAGCGATCATGTGATATCGATGGACGAGAACTGTTCCGCTGATCCACGTAATTTCCAGCTGCTACTACATATGATGAACTATCTTCTCAAGATATTGAAGACATAACTCCTTTGACAACACCCGAGACGAATCCGCCAGATGTTACAGAATTGCTGCCGACTTCTCATGACTCGGGAAGTCGGCATTTCAACCAATCCCCGGGAAATCAGTTCCCGTCAGCGGCTGACACTGCGGTAAGTCTTCACTCATTTTGATTGCGATTTCATGCCGAGAAAATGGAGACTTGACTGACCTCGCCGATCAGCAGACACTGCCCACAGTAGAGCAAATGAGGATCGAGGAACCGGCTCAGCTCACCCAAGCATCTGAGACCTCAGCTGGCTGGCTTTTACTGCTACTGATGCCTTATGCGGCTGGACTCATGCTCTGGGCTCTTATCTTTGCGGATGTTATACCCCACAGTTTCTTCCTTTCCATTGCAGCATGGGTGATTGCATTTCTGGTTGAGGTTGCGAGCTTTCGAAGCTGGTTTACCGTTATGTTTTCTGCCACACGTGAAGTGGTAAGAGGCTGGTATCTGGCTACAAGAGATCGTTTAAACAGGTGTACCATGTGTTTCTGACTTTACCATATATTATAAACGAGTAAAATATCATAGATTCATCTTTTGTATGTATAAGACCTGATGTAATAGTTCAAGCTACATTTAACCCAAGTTTAAATCTCCGTTCTCCTCAATAATCGATACCTGGTGCTGTATTTCTTCCGCTTTGATGCTTAATCACGCACGAACCCATTTGTTGTAGATAGTCTCTCAGCAAGTGGCCGTATGGGGCTAAAAATGGAGATCGATTTCATCGCATTCCACCATTTTCATGAAGGGAATAACAACTAGGGTTTGTTCTCCGGCTTGCTGTGGAGTAGTAAATGCTATTGATGAGGGTATTGTCTAGGTTATATCTCCGCTAGTGAATGCGACTGAAGGTGTAAAGGAAATATCTAAATATAAGTATGATACAATAATGGGCTTCTCTTTCTATGGCCCCAACATGAAGTCTTGCGCCAAGATCGCTCTATTCAACAAGGCTGCGAAAGTCAGAATCGAACTTGACAGGGAATTTCTTCCTTCCCTTCGCATCCGAGTTGACGAAACACGCCATCTTGTTCTTCGGGCAGTAGAAAGAGCCCACACCGTTCACATCAATCGTAACTGCGGCCGACTCCATTCCGAGGACATCGGTCCAGACCTCCCCGGCGTGGTCTGCACCAACTAACATTGATAACCGAGTGTCAGTATGTTCAGCCTGTGTCCAGCTCATGACGACGGCCATGCCGGCGGGTCTCTCTTCCGTTCCGCGCCTGACCCATCCAATACAGTCAGGCCGCTCGAAGTAATCGTGTTGCTCCCCGTAAGCATAAAGCTTCCTGGCCAAGAGAAGGTTGGGAAGGTCTTGGATAGGCGCTTCGGGATGGGTAAGCTCGATGCCGTATAGATCACCAAAGAAGACGCATGGGTGACCATCGCGTCTGAGAAGAATCATAGAGTAGGCAAAGGGCATGAACTCCTTGCAGATTGGGGTGTCCATCTGTTGACCTTTCTGAGTGTCGTGATTACGAATGAAAGTCTGCGAGTTGTTAGAAAGTCGTTCAATTTTGCAGGAGATGAATAAACTTACGACAGCGTTGTTGGGTCGTTGTTCCACTAGTGTGTCCTTGAACACCTGCCTCAAGTCCGTGTCTCGGTGCCATGACAATCTCTCGATGTGGTACATCAGAGGCACGTCGTAGAGGCTGAAGAATGCTGGCATGTGCTCCAACCAGTTGTTCAAGACGCGCACATCACCATGCCAGAACTCGCCAATAAACATGAGATCATTGCGAATGGCTGGCTTCCTCAAGTGCTCGGCCCATTTGCTGATGAAGTTCCATGAGATGTGCTGTACGGCATCTACACGGAAGCCTTTGAGACCGAGCTCATCCACGATCCACTTGCCCCACTGATGCTGCTCTTTGACGACCTCAGGGTTGGTGTAGTCAAGGTTTTCGAGCATCAAGTAGTCAGCATTTCCTTGGAGGTCGCCGACGTCTTGATGCCATTTCTTGCCGTCTTCTACAAACCTGTAGATGGCACGTTTCTTGTTCTGTTGGTTCCAGTCTGTGCCGTTGAAATGCGACTTATTGTATCTGAACTTGCTGTACTTGCCCCCTCTAGCTTTGTAGTCAAATTTGGTCCATGACTCAATTTCATAGACGTCTGTGGTGTCTCTTCGTCTATCTGAAATGCGTGTAAGCAGATAAGAACCAGGAGTGCTACGAGCTGACGGGTGAAAGCTTACCATGCGGATCAACCTCGACCACCTTCACCATCTCAGTGCCGTCAGCGTAGGCGCGGTGGTTGTGAATAGCGTCCCAGACGAGCCCAATGCCGTGGTGCTCCGCATCCGCCGCTAAAGACGCAAGGTCTCCCTTCGTCCCCCATTTGGTGGGGACTGAGCCCTTTTGGTCAAACTCTCCTAGATCCCAGGCATCGTAAATGTCGTAGCCGTTACTCTCGGGATCCTTGGCTTTGCTTCCGGGCGGCAGCCATAAGCTGTTCACACCAACGGACCTCAGTGCCGGCAGCGCGCGCCGAAGTCGTCGCCAGTGCTTGTGGTCGGCAGGCAAATTCCACTCGAAGGCTTGCAGCTGCACTGGGTTTTGAGATCTCTCCGAGCGAGGCAGTTGGTGATGGGATTTACTTCGCGGAAGGGACTCTGTCGGTCTTACCTCCACACGGGAAGATAGCTGGTGAAATGACTTGCTCCTCGGCAAGGCCTCTCTGGCTCGAACTTCAATAGCTCGGGGTTCTGTAGTTCTGATGCGAACCTCAATTGGCTGGCCAGTACTTGGCCGCGAAGCTGTGGTTGGGTTTCTCATTTTGACCTAAGGTAATACAGTGAACAAGGCTAAGGGAAAAGTCAAGAAATGGATGATGTGTCGTCATGTATACGGCTTGGTGGTCGGACATGTCTCTTTATCTATGCGCACACACAATCCTAAAGAAGCGCGAAGTCAAGGTCGCGACTGCGTATCCGGACTTGTCTCCCGGCGCCTTGTACTCCGTACGGTGGCTTGCGCTCCAAGGTTTAATGTCCCCAGCAAGATCAATCTCAATGTCCGAGCCGTCTCAACCCAACACTCTAACCCGGGGTTAAATCTCGACCAATGATTGCCAATGATGGTTCCAAAGGGTCCAGAGAGGCATGGACATTGTCAGCTCACGTGTCTCACACATCAGCCGTTCCAGAATTACAATGCGTGGTGATGTTTGGTGAGTCGTCTGGGGGCTGTACGCTTCGCGTTCGCATTCACGAGTCGCACCCGTTCTCGAATGCGAGATTTGATACGAGCGGGTCCTACTTAACCCTTCCCCCAAAACAAAAAAACTTGGCCCCCTTCCAAGAACCCAGCCACGGAACGAGTCGGGCCAACATAGTGAGCAATGCGGCCATTGACAGCGTACTGAGTACGCAGACGGAGACCAGCACGGTCACCGCCATGGCATTTTTGGCGCATTGAGGTGCCAAGTAGCGGCACCGCTTGACACCAGGAACAGTAGGCAGCCGGGACGGGCTGAACGGGTTGTCGGGACTGACGAGTGTCGCAGACGGGGCCAAGACGATCATCAAATTACCGATAGCGAGATTGGCCCGAGCATAAACTGACAACGTAGAGACCCCTAAAATCTCTTAACGCGAAAGCGACCTTAAATTTGCATTGTCGTTACTTGAGCACAGCCGGGAGGCCTACGTGCACGGTAGAGTGTCAAGTCTAATGAGCAGAATAACCTTGCTAATTTCAAATAATGCAAAGAGATAATACAAAATAACCCGGAGATGGGTCGGCAGCTATCCGGGCCGCGCTGATCGATGTGGTGTGGGCTGTCGCTGCCAACTACGCATCCGCGAGTGTTTGGTAAAATTCCACGTGTCGTGCGCATAGAGTTCTGGGGTTATCCTTTTGCATTGCAGCAATAAGTCGCAAATATTGTTTGCATCCGGCTCAGGAAACACCATGAAGGTGGTAACCTACTGATCTAGGTACTGAGTATACAAGCGTATCTACCCGGGCGGACTAATACTGCAAATAATCAGATGTATCTCACACAAGTACGACATAAAGTAGTTATTTCAGGCAGATCTGATGATATTGAATATGACTGTGACGCTATGCTGCATGTTTTTAACTTCAGACCAAATCTAACGGTTGCATGTTGACCCAGACCATCTATATCGTCTGTTCAACCCCTGCGACCGGCGAAAGAACACCTCAGTGCGATCTCATCTCGTCAGGCTCCCGAACAATGCGAGAGCCTGCTCGGGTCTCCAGCACAGGAACCTCGATGTTCCAGCCTGCAGAAGCCAGTCTCCTCGCGTACAGCTCGTACTTTTCGTTGGCGATTTGCAAGCTTTCTTTCACGTGGCCCAACATTGCTTGTTGATCGAATTCAGCTCGCACCAAGTTCGCCTCTTCCTGCCCGCTCAGTTTTCTGGCCAGCAGCAGACCATGGAACCAAGCTTTCAGCTGTGACCTCGGCGTCACGCCTTCTTTCAGAACAACAATAACCTTGATTCTGGAGGCCGCGTCGTTGGCCGCGGTCGACACCTGGCACCAGAGAACGTACTCCTCGCGGTCGAATACGTCCACGAGTGTATATAAGTCGACGCTTGAAAGCTGGAAAGACATCTCGTGGGTCTTCCCATAGGCCAAAGCTTCAAGCAAGGTCTTGAGGGGCACTCCGTACTTGCAGTGGCCAAACACTGGCCCGGAGTTCCAGCGAAAGACTTCTCCCCTTCGCTTCTCGAAGATGAGTTCTCTTTGGGAAACTTTCAGTGGTGTGAGGACCTCGTCTTTCGAAAATAATGCCGACAGAGCAATATTGGTACGTTGCCGATTTAGCTGACGTGAGTGTACTGCTCGAACGCCCCTCCAATTGAGAAGGAGGTGAACGCCAAGGAGGACAAAGAGAACGATCCACGATAATGTTTCGTCGGTTAGAAAATATAATAAAAACGTTCCCGTCTATGCATTTGTTAGTAAAAATCGAAGCTTTAGGATTAGATGCATCTTGTTGTTGACTTACAAGCATTCCTATCAGAGAAATGGCTGTCTCCTGGCTGGCATCTTTCTGTGTACTGTTAGCAACTCTGATCCTGCATACGTCTCCACTGTGCTAAGTCCTGGTACTTACAGCATTAAGCTCGCCGAGATTGTTCCACTTGGCAAAGTGACCACTGAGACTGCTTTTTGATGCGTTCCCAACGACGCCAGATGCGGAGTATAGGATGCTGGAGAGGCAGAGAACCAGAAACCTGGCTTCTTGCGGAAAATAAGGAGACGCGCAGTCGAGAATCATCGCTGTGTCGGTCAACAGATCACAGGCCATGCGGTATGCCTTACATTCTGCTTCAATCGAAGTCGCAAACAGGTGTGCAAATGTGATGGTTGCGAGCCTTCCCATGGACTCTCTAGTGACTTGGATGAGCATAGCCCCAGTCGGTGATGCTAATGAGTCTCCGACACCCAGCCCTGTGGGTGTAGTCAGCACACAGTAATAGAGAGCGAACTGGTAAGGGGAGGGTAAGTTTAGCCACGACAACGCAGCGGAGTTCTTACCTTGCCAAACAGCACGCGAGGAAATCATGCCGGCAATCGTGCCAGCAAAAGCTTGAAGGGAGTCCTACTCAGGGTAAGCTAGACTGGATACCTCTTGGTTTGAATCGGTGTTTACTCACATAAATCTGATATTCAGCATAGTCGTCTGTAACGCTATGCGGATAGCCATCCGGCAAAAAGATTTCGAGAAGCTCTTGCCAAGGCTTCTTTCTTTTGGGAGGGAGCTATGCGAACGAGTGTCAAATCACATGCAAACTCTCCGCTGTCTTACATCAAGACATCGAAAGAAGGAGGGGTACCAGGGGTCCTCCATGTTGTCTGCTGAGCTTACCGTGAGATCGACCCTAGATGATCCGGCAGTCGGAGCCGACTCGACATACTTGGTCTTCAGAGCGCCGGCTTTGTCATATTCGGCAAGGACCAGAAAGCCTGATCTCTTCCTTAGCATCGTCGGCGTCTCTAGGACGGTTTGCGTCGAGCGCGTTGACATGGTCTAGCGCGCTCTTAGGAGGTTGTAGATCAGAGGCCGGTTTGATTCGAACTTTCAAGATTTGGAAAGAAAAGATGATCTATGTCCCCTTTTTGCGAGTGAAGAAAGATTAGATTGAGAGAAGATCAAAGAGGTTCGAGTTGAATGAAGCGCAGGAAGAACTGAGCATGGCAGAAATTTGGCAGAGGTCTTTCCCCGGTTGGGTAAGAAGAGAAACGGATACGGGGATACGAAAAGGAATGCAGCAATTTTCGCGCGCGCGTGAGGACCGTTTTGGTTCGTTGCCATCAGCGGCGATCAACAAACACAGTGGACACGGCCATTAATGACTCTCTGCGAAACTTTCCGGGCTGTGCAGCCGCCGCGTCCTTCTCTGGCATCCTGGAGGGGTCAAACATGTTCGATGATCTGTCATTGTTCCCGCTCCGCCCTATGTTGACAAGTCGCTGTCAGGACTGGGTGTCATGGAAGCGGAGCGCAGATGTGCGTCTGTGTGGGATCTGCATGGGCCGCTGGGGGCAAAACAATAGACTCTCAACCGCAGAGTGCTTCAGAACATTGAACCACTTTCAACCCGCCCCTCTGTAGATCGTTTCAAAAGATGGGATTTTTCGTCAGATTGCGGGCTTGCTCGAAAAAAGCGGACATACCGTCAGCAACAGAACGCTGATCAGCTCGGGCTCAATACGAATGACACGAAAAGTCAGCGACGAACCACCCACGGCAAGCCTGTCGCGAAACATGGGACGAAGTGCTTCTAAAGACGTTCCGGCAGCGGTTCACTCCGGTGGGGAGGGCGACGTAAGCCTATGGATGCAGGCAGCGATTCAGCTGCCTCTTTCCGCGTATTTGTCTTGTTCTACCCTAAGGGCTGCACTTGAGGTTGAGAAAGTTCCAAGTCTGGCTCCGGCTTCGGTCTCGCCACTTAAGTGATGTAGAAAAGCTTCGCCGGGATCATAGTTCTCTTATGGCGGCTTCAATCGCACTCAAGTGGTTGAAGTTATGAGTTGTCAGCGCCGTGAACTGAAATATCAAGCTGCCAAAAGGCAACAACCGTTTGCCGCTTCTGTGAGTTTGATTACCGGGTGACAGAACTTAGTTCTCGCCAAAAGCGCATTTCTCCCCGCTATCATGCATCATGAGGCGCAGTGACCGTTGTGTTGAGACCCATCAATTGGACGGTTTGTCTTGAATATGGAAAACTCTAGTATTCGTATTCTGCACGATGCTAACTTGCCTATTTAGGAAGCGATTCCCATACAAACAATAAAGCTGGAAAACAATCCACTTCATCTTGAGTATTGACTCAAACACTCTTTTCCCATGTTGACCACGTTGAACGACCCGCTTGTCTGGTTAGCTACACTTAGGCGTCTTAGATCGGCTGTCGAGGTCCATGGGTAGAATCAGTCAGTATCAACTCGCGACATCCCACACAGCGAACTATACGAGTACTATACTTGCCGATTTTGGAAATATTGCATGGGACTTGAGTGCCGAAAAGCTTGTATCCGGATGGGAACGTTGGCGACTCATGAGCATGCTACCTTGTTCCTTGTACGAATTAAAGCTACACCTCCAAGCCGGCAAGCCCACAATATCTTCATCCCACCGGGCCGGAAGAAAGTGAGGCAACGGGAGTCCCGCCGGCACGCGGCATGTAACGCTACTCTATTTCGATCTCGTTCGCTCCGACACCTCTTGCTGCCATGATGGCTGATACCTTGTTCCGGCGTCCGTGTCTCCTAGGCAAGTAGATGAGGAACCAACT